GCGAGCACTGCATGGGTAAGCTATGTCTGTGTGGGGTGGGTCTATTGATCGCCACAGTGCGAAACACCAAGAAACTATTATTTTATGACTTCCTTCTTTTTTGAAAAAAATAAGCCATTTTGGTCAGTAAGAAGGCAAGAGTTTTTGATGTATTATTATAAGTGCATCTTTACATGGATGACATCAATATGAGACAGAGGTTATAAAGAGTTTATTATGAGACTGATCCGCTTATTCAATCGATATTCAAAGATTACACTAAGGAATTATACACTAATTGTACCTCTCTCCATGCAAAGCATTTTCTTGTCCGATGCAAGTGCTGTCTTTACCGATGTTATAACTGCGCATCTTGCGAGCCTTCGGCTTGCTGGGCTCTACTTTTCTTTTGGCAGGCATGTCAACGGGTGCTGGGCTGGGCAACACACTTCTGTGAAACTGCTGTTTTGACTTGTCGACACAAACTTGCCCTGGAAAGGGACAGATTTATGGTTTATCAACTTACGACCAGTAGCCTCTTGCAGTGTTTCAACCATGAGAACAACTTAAATTAACTCTTCACAGGGAGAGGATAAATACCATAAGCCCGAGAAAACAGCTGTCTCTCCTCGCTCCTCGCCGCTAGGGAAGTTTCGCCAGGAGGGACGTCTTCCCCTCAACAACAGAAATTCCACACTGATGGTAAAATCGATGTTTACATAATTAAACTGGTAGTTACGGGGTTCCAAATGAATAGTTGTTCGATTTTGTTTCTCCTGATCGATTATGGCAAAGTTTTGGGTTCTTCTGCGAACGAGCTCCAGCAAAACTCAGATGCTTCTTGTAAGGAAGAATATATTCCACTAATATTAACTGTTTTGTAGAAATTCATCGCGTTTTCATTTGACCTTCGTGGCCCTTTGTCTTTGTCGGTCATTCGTAAACAATAGCTCAAACAATGTAACTACTCCGTTGGCCAATCGGAGCTCCTGACCAGCTTCCGGACGGAATTTTCCGTCATCGGTATGGAATTTCAGTCCCTGCAGACGTCCCTCCTGGCGAAACGACTCCCTAACGGCGAGTAGCGAGGAGAGACGGCTAAAATACCATAGAGATTATTACTTGCTGCTCAAAAATGTAAAGTCTCAAAAGGAGAACAGATTTCGAACATCCAGCTCCTTAGTTTGCTCTTGAATGAACACAGCATCGTATTCTTTGTCTTAAGCACCAAGAGTATTTTTCATATTTTGAGACGCGCATCTTCAGTTGTTAGAGTTAATACCTTTGTGTTTCGGAGCGTCCTGTTTTGGGCGTTTGCACTGTTTTGCTATACAAAAAAAGGGGCTTGAGTTATGAACTTAGTAAGTCTGTTGCCTATAAAATTTAAAAAGAAATGTCAAAGGGGTTTTGTTTTGCTTTTTGGGCAAAACAAAACTAAGCTACCTATCTGTCGTAGTCGGGTTAAACAAAGTATTTCCAATAATAGAACCGAGAGGAAAATGCCAGGATAATTCGAGAGTCTTCTACGTCGTCCAAAAAAGGAATAGACAAGCAAGACAAACAGAAACGTTAAATTATTGACGATTGTTGTTGGTGTTTTTAACTGGAATCTCCCTTTTTAAAATAGCCTCGATTTCTAAGCCTTTCCTGAAAAATGAGCTCTCGCTCCTTCCCGAAAAGATGACTGGAAGCGTGGATTTGTTGTTATCGACTTCCACCAATCAGATCATTGCCTGCCGAAATCGAGTAGGCAGCATAAATTATTTTTCCTGGAACAGATTTCACAACGGCAGAGACCAAGATGTTGTTTGATGTGGTGTGCGGTCGTATTTTGGAGCGTTTTGAGCTTAAAAATCTGAAATATCTACGACGAAAAGCTGAGAGAAGCTGGTAAATGGTGAGGAAGGTTTTGTAATTCAACCAACTGGATCAAAATAGTTTCTTATTTTCCAGTCTCCACGTGCACGGAATTGGTTATCGACATCGAAAAAGAAACGACTTTAAAGTCCACTTTATTTGCTTGTTACTCTTGTAGCAACGATCGTTGTACAAATCAAATATCTTTCCAAATTAACGGCATTGACTTCGATTCTATTGCTACTCTCTTAGGGAGATTTTGTACTTTCCCTTAAAACATAATTTTTTCCGGAATAATTTTGCTCTGAAAAAAAAATGCAGGCGGCAGGGCAACTCTAAAGCAGAGCAATTTGTGGGCATTGTACCACTTAAATTCAAACAAGCCTGAGCCACGCAATACATGAATTTAAAATACAATGTTTCTTTTAAATTTCCCCATTGCTGCCACCATGCATGAGTAGTAATGACATTTTTTTGTTAAACGCTGTTGTCAAAAGTTGGTTTTAAGGATCAAACGTTCTTTAAGTACCGGCAGACGGCCTTGATACAGAGGATATTTCGGTTGTGTCGCCAAGGAGCTGTACTCTT